CTTCGATTCTGTAGTGGCAAGTGGCGCGCTTACCACGCGAGCGGTCCGGGGATCAAATCCTGGGTCGTGAGTCGCCCGGGCCAACCAAGCCTTCCATCCCTCCGGGTCGGTTAATTGGTACCAGACTTGTCTGGGAGGATAAAAACACTGACTTGTACATCGGCTGGCCCCCGCAAGTCATTGTATAGGCCACATCGCATTCAAACGCCACTACGAATGTACAAATGGAAGTAGAATGCGTGCCGCATCCCAAAAAGGGATTGATCAACGGCAAATGCTTTATCCTTTATCCTTACTTCAATTCCATACATGCGATACTGCAGTTTACTGCAGTTTTGAAAAACAAATTTGCAAAAACCTTTGCCTTGATTGTCACAATACCACGACCGGAAAAGATTGCTAGTGAATCTTACTTTTCGGAGTTCGAAGAATTTTCTGGAAGACTGGGCTGTGGCAACAATAACAATGGCAATGGTACGAAGAGCTACATCACCCTTGATCTAGCCAGATGAGAATTATAATCTACCTTAAATGACTCTCCTGTACAAGGCGGTCCCCCCAAAACGCCGACTTTATCGTATAAATCATTTCAATCGTCACAAACGCTGACAAACATCAAGTACGGTGAAGGCAATCGAGCTTGTGGTTTGTTCCAGAACGATCGGTTAACGAAACCGCTATCCTTACACCCATACCGAGCATGAAGTGGCTCATCTCGTTTCAATTTTTTCCTAGAATCCCACCCTTGCCAAGAAGAACCGCCAGCGTCTTTCACGACTCACATCATTAATATTTGATGAAACCGTGGCCATGCGATGAAAAAGAGGTTCCATATCGATGCGTAAGATGGCCTCCGCTTCATCCATTCATCTAAATATCGTTTATTCAAGTCACACACTGTGGTACAATTATTGATAAATAAATTTACTATGAATTCAGCCTAGGAGAACCAGAGAAGAACCAACCCCATCGTTTTTCAACTTCATTCAACGCCGGCCCTTTTGGATTCCGCTTTTTTAGTGTCCAGCGAATTGAGCGTCCGGATAGCGTAAACACCGAACGTTCCCACGGTATCGATGTTATAGTAAACGTTCCCCTTCCACCCTGATTCCGCTTGGGAAATCCGCGTGGGACTCTTCGTCAAAGCTGGAGGATTACTCGTCAGTCGCTCCCTTTTGAGATGTGTTGCACCTTCTAACATATGAAATCTGATTTCCCCACCATTTCTGTGGAGGCCATCCAATGTACAAAGTGGTGTTTTTATCCTCCCAGGCATGGCATCTGGCATTTGGCGCTTCTTTCTGATCCACAGTCATTACCTAGTACAAAGCAGTAGGACAAGTGGGACTACACGATTGCGGAGTAGACTAAAAGGCAGTACAGTAGTGAGGGAAGAGAAGTGCTCTAACTTGAACAGTGCTGCTCCCTTAAGGCAACATGTGAGACGCATTTAGATGGGCCCACCAATCTAAATACCCCAAGAAGACGTCTCTCAAGGCCGACGTCTTTCAGAATTGTCCTGGGAAATTTCATGTCGGGATTATGAGAGCTTATCGAGACGTGATATCCTTTTTTCCTTCCACTGGCTAGCTTTGCTGTTTCTTTTTTACACCAAAACTAAAGCGCTGGTCTAACAGCCGAAAGCGCTTAGATTTGATTTACGGCGACGAGATGTTTTTTGCCTTTGAATTGCTGCCTCGTCGCACTTGTGGATTATGCGCACGCTCGAAGCTCTGCAGGAAGCGTTTTGGCCGTACACCACGATCGTCGATCATTGCTTGTAGAAGGAGCGCTGGGCGGCGGATGTTTTTCTACGTTAGGACGTCGCGTGGGGCTGCCGGAGATCATTTATAAGTGCGACTGCCAGGCGCGGTCCACACCGTCGGAGCTGTAGGTCCTTTCAGTCGAGTCGCTACAGCGCGTTCCACAAGGCACGAGTCGTTTTTACACTGGAAAAGATGACAGCGGAAGTTGTCGCGCGAACACTTAGAGATTCGATCTGGCGCGGCACTGCTGTTCGCTTCTTTGCGGGCTGATTAGCTTTTCCTCTTTGCTACTGTAAATTATGAGCTCTGACGCCCGTACGAGCTCCCTGAACTGACCAATCATTCTCAGAACTCTTACTGATTGTGGGTGATTTGTGCCTAATGGTTAGCTTTCTATCAACTTTTCTTACTTTTGCTAGTACTATAAGTCTATAAGTGTCTCTAGCTTTCTTAGCGAACACGGGACTGCTCGATTTGAACAAGGACAAGCGTCCTGTTTGTTTCCCTTCAGCAGTCCTAGAATATCACTTTGTAGATTGCTATTTTTGGCCGTAGATCTCCTCGCTAGGGTTATCTCAGATGCCGGTATGTGCAAAATATGTACATCGCCCCAAGCAGGATTGGAACTCACACCTTAACCTTATGGGGGTGTGGTTGTTGCATATACACTAACATGGCTCCCCTTCATCTTAAGCCAGCCTTTAGTGGTATGTTTACCAAAAAAAATGAAATAATTTAGCTACCGCTGCTAATCAGAACCAATCTTTTTGTCTCGTGGCCTCCCATTTTAGTTTCCGCTAACCATCTCACTTAATAATGTTTGAGGGCTATATGTAGCCACTGAAGTTTAGTTTCAAAGATAAAGTAATGCCTAGTGGTGTGCCGAGAGCCCAGTTACCATGAAAGTGAAAAGTGCGGGTTCAAATCCCGCCAGGGGCGAAGATTCGCCCATAACTCGGTCGTACTTATGATATCCTCAGTAAGGAAATCATTTGAGAACATTGTTTTGCTTTTGCACACGTTTGCTTTGGCGGGCCATATTATCCATTACTCTGGCACAAGCTCTTCTACGTAATAGTTTGCTGGACCCGCAAAGCATTTCAAACGAAAACTGTTCGCTTGAATACTGCAAGGATTCCCTAAAATGGAAATACTTACGTGATTGTAAGTGTCTAGATTTTTCTTGCATTTTGTGACAATAATAGAACTGTAACCTGCGAAAACAGTGTGTTTATCTCGAGGGTATCTTCATCACAAAATGAGAAGGCTTATGGGCAGTTCTCATTTCGGAGTTGAAGATCAGTACCTGTGGTGATGTCGTAGCGCCAACTTGTTACTGCTAGATGTTAGGTGTGGTAAGAAAGATTCCAATGCACTTATCGCTCCTCCAAGTACTTTTTTGGCCCTCGAGAACACAAGGTTTTCTGCTGGTTCTTCCTCACTCCTATATGGTCTCCGCCTACCAGGGCCTCACCTTCCGCTGTAGTAACAAGAGACCGCGACACTTTCGACGGCAAGTTTTACTTCTTTGTATTCACTCTCTATTGTTCGGCAATACACCCGTACCTCACAAAAACCAGATCTCAGTGGATGTCAGGCGGAATCCCAGCAGCACAGTGTATCGCCTAACAGTTGAAGGAATACCATCTTGTCGACAGATCCAATGACTTTCTTCCAATCGGATTTTGGCAACGCCTCTTCATTTCGCCCCTCACCCCTCTTGTACTCGCGATCACAGTTTCTGTGACTCCAAGTTGAAACTCCTCCCATTTGACTCATAATTTTAATTGACTTGGGCACTATTTACCCTTGACTGCCCGTTTCCTCGAAAATTGGGCAGGATTTTCATCAAAATTTTTCCATGTCTGTGGATTCTGCTCAAGACTTGCCTTAGGTAGTTCGACCCGTAGAACACGAATATCACATTTTTTACCGCTAAAACGCCTGGCGCTCGCACCAGAAGCGCCGGCGCCAAAAGGCGCCAGAACATTCTTGCTTCATCAAATATCTTGGAAATTTTTCGCCAGGGAAATTGACTCGTAGAACACGAATACCACATTATTTTGTTGCGAGTGAACTCATGGTCTGCGCCATGGGCGCCAAGGAAAAGCTAATGTGATAGCGCCGGCGCCTATGGCGCTCGCGCAAGGCGTTTTTGCACTAAGATAATGTGACATTCATGCTCCGCCGGTTTGATTCTCAGAGCCAACCTTCTAGCCTAACCCATTGTCATGAACAAATTCTGATAAAATCTGGCTCATTTTTTGGGGAATGGGGCAATGAAGGGTAAATAGGGCCCCAACCTAAAAGTGATTGCAACTTGCAACATTAAGCTCTACTCTGGTTACGTGCACTTGTCACTTTGATCCAACTAAGTAATTCCAGATTTTTCCTACTGATTTGCTCTCGCCTCATTTACCAAGTGCAAGCATGTCCGGTCTGCCTTTCAGCTCCCTTCGCTCCTCCCTTAAGGATGCAATACGGCGCGCCATTACTTACTCTTAACGACTTTTCTCTGTGGTCAATTAGTCGGAGCCGACTACTCTCGCGGCCTTGTTTCCTTGAACAACTTGTTCTTCGAACTGTGTCTCACTCCTTTTGGTCTCAAACTTTTAGCAACAAAAAGTCTTTCATGATCCTTTCATAAGTGCTGCTTCACCATGAAAATTGCATGTTTTCAGCCAACGCACGTGCAATTTCGTGCTCCCACCATCCGTGCACCAGCAACGACTCACACTGAAGACTGTAACGAGAACTGCAGGTGAGTTCCAGCGTGCTAGCTAACAAATTTATCCCGACCTTTGTTCTAATTTTAAAAAAGACCCGCTTTAGAACCTCAAAAAGCAGCGAAGAGGACTCGGCGTATGCCGGCTTCGGCAGCACCAGTCCAGCGTCGTCCACTCAAAGCTCTATGAGCTTACAGTCAAGCTCGTCAAAAGTGAGTTTGATTTTTACATGAGATATTTAGAAACTGTTTGTGAAGAGAACTTCGAAAGCGGCTCAAGGCAGTTATTTTTTTTGAATGCATCTATGAGACAGTATGAAAAGAAACAAAGCCGAAATTAACACTGTTCGCATGTAAGGAAATTTAGGGATCACACGAGGTAGAGTGTCAACCCGAGCAAGCGATTGAAGGGAAAACCAACCACTCCTGAGCTGGCGATGAAGCGACGTGGTAGCGACAGTCAGGTGGGAATCGGTTTTTTTGGAGATTCTCGCTCTATATCATTAGCGTATACTCAGTTCTAGGTGAACTGCTTTCCTTCCACGTTCTTGTACTAATTCCTTACTATCCTTTTTCACCCCTCTATTATTACTGAGAGGCTTACAAGTGATAGTCAATTCGTCATTCATTTCACGACAGTGCTCCCGTGGAGGATTTTTGTAAACCCGGCGCGCTTGTCTGCATAACTTCATGAGGAACAGATCAGGAAGAAATGCTCGACCAATGAGATTCTCTTCTTTTCTCATTATAAACTCGAAGAATGTGTGTAGCGTGGGTGCCTTTCGTTGTCCCTCTCTATGTGTAGCCTACGTAACACACAATGAAACATTGCTTGGAAGAAGGCACGAACTTTTGTGACAACATGGAATTTCTAGCACTCGTTAACTGACGCTTCGCATAGAGGGCTTTGGTTGCGTCAGATTAGTTTAAAGGAATCCTTCGCGGAAAATTCTTGCATTCTTTCTTGACATGAATGTGTCAGTTGTGATCACTGGAAACAGCACACAAAGTTTCACGCATGAAGATTCGGTTTCCGAAGAGAAACAAACGTACAAAAACTACACTCTATGGACAATCGAAGGTAATTCGGGCGGAGCCAAAGGCGAGGCATGGAAAGAAGTTGCCTTCGGGGCTACGCGTATCAGGCGACGCAATGAAAGAATCGGGTTAAAGCGCGCGATTTCGGAGAGTAGAGACAAATCGATCGATAGAATAGGATGGAGTAGAAGTGTAAGATGTGAATGCAATAAAGCAGAAGGCCAGAAAGAGTTTCTAGTGAAGGCACTCCAAGAACCAAGTGGAAGCATCCCCGTCGCCAGCATTTGTGACAGATGTAGGCGGCAACTTGAACGCGTAGCAGCCCTTCCGGTTTTCGAATTTTTTTACCAAAACAAGATGCAGTTCTTCTGTACTTGTCATTCTTATCGTTTATGATGGGTCTCAAGCCAGTGATTTATGGCTGAAATAGAATCATGATTTTTCCGTGAATGATTCCTTTAACTTCGCGCTCTTACAAAAACGCTGAACTATAGGAACCTTTGACAACTTACCCTCGCCTTCAAATGACCAGAAATTGTGCAATTGCAGAAATTGACGTGGCATTAACGTGGCATCGATTCAAGAACATCTTTGAGCACACGTGATGTCACCTTTTCATCGAGAATTTAGCCACGTGTGCCACGTGGATTTCTGGCTGCATGAAACAGAGTGTATCTCTGTATTTGTTGACCTCTTTTAACAATTTGGCCAAAGCCAATCGCCTTCTCACTATTCCTTGCTCCTCATGCGGCCCCCTCAATGAAGAGTTTCATCGATAAGTTTTAGCAAACGCAATTGAGATGTTCTCTGTTTTGAACGCTGTGTTTATGAAAAGGGAATCCTGAAAAACGCATTGAGCTAGCTCTGAAACCTTCCGTTCATTTTGCTACCGTCTAAACCCCCCCCCCCCCCCCCCCCCCCCCCCCCCCCCCCCCCCATTCTTGATGTTTCTGTTCGACCGTCTTGTAAGTGCCTCTCTTGTCCCGCTCACTGAAGGTCCTACGAACGTTTCTCTTTTAGTCACTTCTAATTCAATTGTGCAGGTCAGAGTTAGCGATCGTTGTTCTGAAATCAAATGAGGCAATTGTAAGAAAGAGGAGGTTCGATAAGCCTAAAAACTGAACAGAGGCATACAAAGAAATGAATGGAAAAGAAATTCAATATGGTACTCCTGAAACCTAGAGGATGCGGCTTAGTGGTTCCTTTGAGAATTTTTTTCTCAGCTGTGCGGGTGGTAAGCAGCGCCACTTGGTCCAGAACCACATACGCGCTAAAGTGGAACTATAATTGGCGTGATAGCGGGGTACTGTTGGAGGGGTATTGGAAGGGGATAACCTGCGACGCTTATTTTGTGCTCGTTTGTATTCTCACCGTCGTACTTCGGTATGGAATAAAAAATTTGTGAACCACGTGAGAACTTGACTACTTAGAGGGGGGGGGGAGGGAATCAAGGTGAGTGAGATGATGAAACATATTACTGTCTCGGTGAGAGGCTGCAGATAGGCAGAGAGTGGTGCGCCCCTGACTGCGTCCTGACTCCTGCGGCGCTATATAATGTTTTCATCTTCAACTATCAGACTATTTATTTACAAAATAGTATAGGTACTCTGTGAATCATCGAACTTCGGAAGAGGTAAGGTGATTATTTTTATGTGCCTCAGCTGCAAATGTATTTCACATGGTCTTTTCAATTTTTTTTTCAAAAATGTCTAAATTGCGCATCGCATATGTGCTTTCTATAAAGGCACGGCTCAGATCGAATTCAGGTGGCGATTCTTTCCGGTCTTTAGGATAGAACCCTAGAATAGTCTCAGCAATGGCAATTGAAGCTGCAATCACAAGGCTCAGGGCGCCTAAGCCTGTGATTGCAGCTTCAACAGCTTCCATTTTCCCAGTCCGCAGCAAGGTGTCATCTGGTGCCCTCTCATTCTGTTGCGCACCCCAAGTCGAATCGGGGTGCGATTCTCTTCGTCTTAGAAGAACCCGTAGACATGCATCTCACAGTTGCAATCCTACGCATGAAAATGCTTTTACAATTGCGCTGGGCCTGTATTGCAGCTTCACAGCTTCTTTTCCTCGTCCACAGCAGAGTGTGTCTTAACCTCTCTCATTTCTGTAACGCTCTCCCTCTGTCTCATACCCTCCTATTGTCGCTCAATCTTTTATTGCCTTAGCAAAACCGCAGTACAAAGATTAACAAGCTCCAACATAGCGTTCTCGACCTACTGTTTGCTTCTTTTGGTGCCAGCCCACTCGTGCATTACTTTCCTATTCGCGCGCGTCAACCGCACAAGTCCAGTTCCCACGCATGCCTCTGAGCCGTTATTAATCTTTCTGAGTTTCGACTTTATTCGAAAAATTCCGGAAAGGAAATGTCGATGATCTTTCAGTTGTTGAATCGGCCCCATTGAAGCCTGCACCTCCCGCCATCGAATGTGAACCGTCCTCGTCTTCACGATCGCTCGAGAAGAAAGCACCGTAAGTTTAGCGTGTGCTTTTTTTACTAAGATACTAACGGTTATCATTTTCTAGGCCGGTTCCCAATCGCTCTGGATCTCGCATCGAGACTACTTTCGACTGTACACCTCCGGCGATGGCACCAATACGACAGCCACCTGCTTATGAGCAGCTCGTCCAGCAAGGCCGAATACATCGCTGTCGACTGGGTACGTCTAGCCGTTCAAATTAATTAATATCGATTTTGCTGGAGCTTTTCACCTGCTGCAAGTCTGTTGAAGTGAAGCTTGAAATGTAATACATTTGACCGTAATAGCTTCTCATATTAATGGGTGAAGCATTTTTAGTTGAGTTCTACAGTTGTGTTGTGAAATTAATTCATCAATCAACCTTTTATTTACTTACCATTGTGTCGGATCATTATAATTCAGCTTGCCTTATTCTTCTATCACCACGAACGATTGTTACCTTTCAGTATCGTTCTTTTTCTGCTCTGGCCACTTTTGGAACAGGATTACGTTGTTCATTCGCTAACTCTGCGCGGAGAACATGGCGTTGAATTGCTTGTAAGAAAGAACCTGTGAATGTTATTTGTGGTTTACTCAACATTCTTAACCCATAACGGACGGCCAGTGTATTTGTTGCGTGCGCCACCATGTGGCGCACGCCGCCACCAGGGTAGGGTTTATGTAGGCTTATGCGAACAGCAGGGTTAAGACGGGGCTAAAGTAGGTGTGTCTCATCATCCAAAAGAAGAGATTTCCGTTGACGACAACTTCGTAACCCGCCTTTCCGCTCTAAAACTAGGGTGCAAAGAATGAATGGAAGCTGTAGGTGACATCATCGAAAAATGCGAAACAACAACCCCGAGCAAGGATGTGGCTATATTTAGGGGAAGGGGTCTCGGGACGTGCGAACCATGGGTAAGCCACCCATCAAATAGTAAACTTATGTAAATTAAGACAAATGTATGTAAAATTTATTGTAGGTTTGTCAAAAATCCAGCCGTCCAGGTCCTGGGAAGATATGTTATTCCACATTGCTGAGAGTATATACGGGTATATTAAGATTGTTAGAAACGTAACA